AACCCCTTTTTCGTGCACCACCGATTAGTTATGCTCTTCAAGTCCTGGCACATGGAAACCATCTATTTAAAAAGCACAGGAGGGCAGACTCAGGATTAGTCAAAGCACATCCCACAAGACCAGAATGCACATGTAGTGTTTCACTGTGGTAGGTAACACACTAAAGCTAACTGGGAAACAGCTCTCCCTACCTGGTATAAACTGTCTGAATTGGGACTCTTGTTAAGAGCAGGACATGCAGTGCAGACTGCAAGTTAACAGTAGCACAGCTTCTCCTGTCACTTCACAACCAGAGGGAATCACAACACTGATCAACACTGCCTAGAGAAAGGCAGTAAAAGGGCCCCAAGGGCCCATATTGCTTACCAAGAGGCGGCCCTTACCCCAGCTCATTCCACCTGAAACACCTGTTGAGAGCACATGGAGACCAAGAGCTACAACACTGGGAGAAAAGTGAAGGCTTACACTGGTGCAAGTTAATCTCACACAGGTTTCAAGAACAAATACAGAAGCATGCTCAGCCAGGTTGACCCTTAGCTGAACAACGGCAGCCAAAAAAACCCTGCCCTTTTTCTGATTGTTTTCAATCAAGCTGAACTTCATCACTGAAAACACCATATGTGCCTGAATTTATCCTCATGTAAGTCTTCCATAAATTCGATGTGTTGTTAGCCTTTTTCTGGAAGTGAGTTTTACCCTGATTAGTACCTTCTATTTCCTTGTTAAGCCAAGGGGCTAGGAAAAAAAACAAGCATTCATGGATCTAATTTCAGGGATATAATTTGAAGATTCTGGCAGTAAAATGACATAATACTGCTCTCTTCCTTCTACATAAAAAGCACAAGGGGTGACTTAAAGAGCTAACGCAAGACACACTCCCTTTTAGAAGAGGTACCACTGATACTGTCATAATGATGCCTTAGAGTTGTATCGTTTGTGTTCTGCAAATTGACTGATTTTAACTATTTTGTGCATGTTGGTTTCATAAGGTGCCTTCTGTTTGCTCTTTATCATTATTCTGACTGCCTTTAAGAGGACCAACTTTTATACCTCACGTAACTGTTCTGTGAAGTTATATCTGAGTAAAAATACACCCAAATAACAAGAGCCTGACTTGTCGCAACTGCTGTTATTTTAACAATTCCTGTAATGTCTAACTCATTAAAATCTTCAAATACATGAATAAAGTCTACATAATTAAAACGTGTGCAAGACACGCTGCATACAATTAAAATAATGTCACAACACATTTACAGTATTCTATATGCTATGAACATACCTTATATACAACTGTGTCTGGCAACATGTTTAAACACTATACTTATTTTTCTACTAACAATTTTTGAAGACTGTGGGTTTTGAGTGAATATTGCATTTTCTTCAGGCACAGATATGGGTGACCTCAGTTTATATTTTGAAATCAGTATGTGTGATAGGACAAGGAAGCATATAAGGAAGTTGAAGTTAAATTAAAAGCAGGTATAAGCATGTATTTTATTATGGAGAATAAGACAAGTAAGATAGTAAAATCTGACTTCTTGTCATATTGAATTTTCTTTCACTATTCAATTATAGAAAACAGTATTTTTATAATGTAAATTTTATAGAATCATCCCCAGACTAAAGTCTGTGACAGCCTGCTGTATCCCCAAAGAATTACTTATACAATCCCACTGATTGAAACTCAAGCTACTCATTTAATGTTACAACTCTATGCAGAATTAAAAGTGAGGATCATTTTAGGCTCTAACAATGTTTTTATGTATTTTAATCTGTATCTTATTTATTGGTAGTAGCTTAGTGAAATTTTCTGACATTATCCTGTTGAATTTAATTAGTCTGTTTTATCATCTGGGCAGCACCTGAAAGGAAGCACAGCCATCTTTTGCTGTTTTATTCACCTTTGGAAAGTTAGATCCTTATGTGGATAAAAGAACCCTGGCATCTCATGTGCACAAGAAAGGCAATATTCAGTGAGCCTGGCTGTGAATTCACAGCACACCAGCTTCTCCATGATAGCTGTGCAAGGCCACGGTCACCACAGGTAGTTTGGTGAGTTCCACCAGAGAGCAATTCAGCCCACTTACAATCTGAATTATCTTCTGACTAGACAGGGAGTCCAGGTAAAGTAGGCTTATCACTTGAGGTGATTTAGTTAAATGACTAAATTACAGCTCTTCGTAACTAAGTCTTATCCTTACCTTCTGAGGCATGACCTGGGGGGTCGATCCTCTGGTCATTTGTATAAGGCATCTGTGGAGAAACACCACTGTGACTGCCTGGGAGCCATCTGCTTTCCATGGAAATCAGAAGATGGTGATGGGCAAAAGGTAAACTCTGCATTCTTAAATCTTGCCATGACATGGAACTGGGAGGTGACTGGGATGGACATGCCCAGGACTGCTGGGCTAAACACAGCAGTAGTACAGTACTTCTGACTTACCTCAGTTTGGAAGACTGACTTAAAAAAATAATTCAGATTTGATTAGGTTTTTCTAACTCTGCAGTCAGTCTTCCAGCCTGTATTTGTTCTGAAGTATAGTTCCTGTGTATCTACAGTTAATTGTTGCCATAGAGACCTGCTCTGGGTATCACTTTTGATCTTTCAATTATTCTGATTTGAAAAATGAAACAATAACAAATGCTACCATACAAAGTCATTCCTTCTCCTGAGATAGAGGGCACATCTGCACGGAAGTTCTAAAAGTGATTTAGATTTTAAAGAGTCATTCAGCTCATATGAATAATGAAAAAAAAAGCACCAAATAAAGCACTTATCTCTAAAAAAATGCTATTGCACCAGAGGTTTGACAATAATGTAAAGATATTGCAGTATTCAAGTATTTACATTCCAAAATCTGTGAAATTTGTCAGCAGCAGTAACACAATTTTCCAAGGGTGATATAGGATTCTGATTTTTTGTGAAAAACATAGACCAGAAACAACCTTTTAGAACATCTACATGAATCACCTTGAAAGTACGAAAATGTATTTGCTACAATGTGTTCTGAGTATAGGATATTAAAGCCTTTTAAAAATCAAAAGGAAAAAAATTTAATACAGCACCAGAAAATTAATCAGCCTGAATATTGAAGAAACCCAATAATTATTGAATTCCTGCACTTGGGAAAACTAGGAGGAAAATAAAATACATGCCTGCAAGGATAATTTTCTTTGAAGTAACAGTCTAAATATAAACCTACTCTTATAAACTAACTAAAACAAGTGGTTATATTTAGACTATACAAAAAATGAAGCAAAAACGGCAATAATGTCAATTACTTTTTAGACATCATATAAAATACTTCACTGAAAAATGGAAATACACCTTCAGTGTAGAAATAGGGCCAAAAAATATCTTGAAAAGGTACTTCCTTAGTTCAGAAAAATAAATAGAAACTTATAAGCACAACCAGCTTCTGCTATTTACTGCCTCACTGTTCAGAACCTTTAGAAGGACCTCCATGCAGACCAGCAGGAAGAAATGCAGCACCTGCCACCTGAAGCATCCTCAGATTGCAAGTGAGGCCTGAGCAAACAGCAGATAAGTGAAATTTTGAAAAGTTGCAAGTAGTATAATCACAAGATTATATAAATTAAATTACATAATGAAGATTATCTTGATTGTTTCCTTCCTCTCCTGTTTTCCAAATGTGAAGGTCAGCTTTGAGTAAAAACTTGTGTCAGACTTGAAAAAACTGTGGAACTGCTGAATCAGTTGTTGCAGGCTAAAACCCCGGGGAAAGGCAAGATACAAATGTGATTAAAGAATGCTGTGTAAATATGAACTATAAATTGAAAAAAATATGTTGTGCATTTCAAGCAGCAGGTGCTTAAACGTCAGCATCAAGTACCAGTTCAGATGCCCTAGAGGACCTGAAAGATCTCCATGTGAGAGACCTGTGCTCCCCTGGCATGGTAGATTGAGCCAAGAGAAGACTCTCTGAGGCATCTAAAATGACATTTGTCACCCTGCATTCTTAAAACTTACCGTGACACAGAACTGGAAAGTGCACATGGTTAGGATTGCTGGGTTAAACATAGCAGTAGTATAGTAATTAAGCTTAATTTAACAAAACCATCAGACAAAAAGAGATCTGACATACTACAAACTTCCAGACGTGATAAAATACTTGAGGTGCAGGAAAGGGAGTGAGCTTGGGCCTGCTGGAATTTGCATAGTCAAAAACATATCAAGGGGTGAGCAGTGAGGCTGCTTATGCTGGGTCACACTTTCATGTGGAGAAAGAGTTATACCAGAAAGTAAGTCAAAAGTGTAAGGAAATATTAGAGTCAAGTAAAATGTTTATTGGCTGATAAAATTACAGCCTAGTAGTGCAGCAAAATATGGTTGCACCACAAAAAGTGTTGCAAGAACAAACAGCTAATATTCCATGTGTAGTTTTAACATTTTAATACCATATATTTTGAATAATTAACAGTAAAAATTAACATTCTCTTGGATTTCAGGCAATACTATATACTGCTAACTACTGAACTTGCAGGGCCTACTGTTCAAAAACTTCAAGAAGATATCCAAATCCAATGCTTGGTGCCTAAATCTGTATTAGGACAATAAAAATCCATTTTATGACCTTAGGTGCTAAAGTGAACAGTCAAACAGAGCTCTAGGATATTGTTTACAGACATTTAACAACTGTTTTGTTGAGATTCTGGAAGCACATTTGCTTGAAGTTGCATTTTTTTATTAACAAGTTCATAGCACTGTCAAAAGGAACATCGAGTATCTAGAATAATTTATCATTCTATTACCTCCATTTTTAAATCTAACTATTTTGCAGAATCAGTGCTATGAAAAATTCAGCATTAGAGAAACTGAAGAAAAACCCAAAAAGCACTGGATTTCCAAGCAAAGAGTCTTTCATTCACTCAAAGAGCACTTGTGAAGCAGGGCAGGTTACTACAAACCCCTTACAAGGTTTTTTGTTATCTATAAAAGCACCCTCAGTTTATGAACTATTCTCCTTTGACACATTCCAGTATTTTTCTTTATAATCCTGAAAACAGCAAGGTCAACAAACAAATATTTAAGTACTTTTCAAAATAAGATATTACATTAGAATTCTATAAATTAGACACCAGTTTTATTATTATCTACTCTGTGTAGCAATCCAGCTATTGGTAAATAGGTATACAACAGAAATCAAATTCTCTTAACTGAAGGCTTCACTCTGTAAAACTGACTGTAACTTTTTCCTCAGCACTTACAATGTAATTTCTTTTTATGTTTTACAAAATGCCATCAAATATTCCAAGGAAGGGCTTGACATCATTGATTTCATCATCAAGAACATATCTAAAGAATATTAAGGAAACAAACAAATTAGGTATAGCACATCAAAACCTATGAAAACAAGAACACTACACATAGGCAAGAGATATCAAGACAAGCAAAATAATTCTAAATAATTGTATTTTTAAAAAAGTACTTTTTACTATTATTATCAAAATAAATTTTTTTTTAAAAATTAATGTTATAAATTAGCACATTGCTTAGAGGTCTGTATTCCATGAAGAACTAAGCACTTGAATGCTGCGGCAACAGTAAAATGTAACTGTTTGTTACCTGGGATCCACTTCTTTTTCCTGTTCTTTTGTGAAAATAAAAAAATCCTCTTTTCTAGTGAATTTAGAAGAGTCTGAGATTATCTTTGAGATGGGAGAACACTGTATGTTTTTCAGCTCTTGAGAAGCATTTGAGTGATTTTCTTCTTGAAAAGTGAACTGCAACATAAAAGTTAAAAAGCGTATATGGTTAAAACAACTACCAGAAAGAGAAACTGCCAGATTGTTGTAGAATGTAGTGCAGGTATTTAACTGATATTATGGTATTTGACAAGAACCAAGCATGTGATAAATATAATTATATACTGCATGGAAAACCTATCAAATTGAGTTCAAATAGTTTTGAAATCATGCCATATAAAGTAAATTCACGTCTTATTTCTTTGTATTAGGAATATCACACTGAACACAGGATTCATGCAGGTTTGGACAACACAGGTTCAGAAACTCAGGATGCCCAAACTGATTCATAAGTAAGATGTGGCAAATATATTTACATATTAAATACTCCAAGAATAGCAAATTCTGTTATCAGTACATTTTTACTCACCGAACTTAAATTTCTACTCTGTACAGACAAATTCCCTTTTGATGTGCTACTAACCACAGAAACATCCAAGTTCTGAGTATTGGTCTCATCATGTACTGTGCATGAACTGGAAATACCAAGTTGAATAATTTCAGTATTTTTAAAGAAGTGCAAAATTATTTGCTTTTCAGTTCAGGATTTTCCAGTTATTTCCCCACTCAATTAAATTTAAAAAAATTATTATAATTCAACAATTCATACCTTTTAAACGTTGAAATTTCACTCACTTTTATGAGTGAACAACTTTCTATATATTTAATTATACAGACATGTGAAATACAATACAGACATATTTTAAACCAGCAGAATTCTAAACCAGTAATAAATTATATGACTCTTACTCTTGTGAAATGGTATTTGTGGCTCTGCTTCTTGTATACTGACAAAGGGGTTCAGACTCATCTAGAATTTGAAGGCAGATATTTCCATGTTCAAGAATGAAAGTTTTAAAAACAGAGTTAAAAAGCAGCCAAACCCCCTTGTAAATATTTCACATTATATGATAAATAATAGTTTAAAAATTATTCAAATCTCTTAACACTTGAAATATTTCTTTTGTGGGTTTTTGCTCTAATGCAAAGTTAAGCAAAGAAATGGAGTCATCAGATAAAATTATGCAGTTGCAGATCATAAAAAAAATTTTAACTGTGACTTTTTCAACTCTCTATTCTGTATTAGATTTGTCACAATATATGACATTTAAGACAGAGTAATAAACCTGGCAGTGAAGTCAATCAATCAAATATTTCAGGTAGTTCTATTCATTGTATATTACAGTAATTTATTCTTAAATAATGGCCTGTAGAATAATTTGTATGTAGGAAACAAAGAAGTTTGTTGAAATAACCTTACCTAATTCTCTACTGACGAAGTTACTAGCAAGTACTAATTTGTCATCATCAATATCATCCCAAATATCATCTCTCATTTCAAAGTCCACATTCAAAGCATCTGAAAAATAAGATCTGCTTTTATCTGTATCAATAAATTTATACGTTAAATATTTTTAACATTTTTGTACGCCATTGTCTCTTGGTTCTGCTCACTCACAAAATACTTGGTGTCATTTCCAAACTGGCTGAGGGTGCACTTGATCCCACTGTCCACCTTGCCGCCACAAATGTTAAAATGATGCAGTATAGCTGCCAACACTTAAGGCAGTATGAACTAAAAAAGTGTCAATTCATTTCAGCACCGTGTTTCTTATGCGTCTGAGTGTGATCTAAACACTGGAGCTGCAACTTATCAGCCAAATTAATCAAACTGACTTCATCAATCTACTGTCACCAAATACAAAAAGGCATGCAGTGAGGAGAACATCATAGTTACATACTGATAATGAAGACTGATCATTTAACACCAAATGCAAAAACACCTGTAGCCTTTTAAGTGGAAGGGAAACAGAAGGAGCAATTTTGCCAACTGCCGAACAAAAGCTCAGGTTGGTTACATACTTCTTTCATCAAAAAGAAAAAAAATATTTATGGATATAGGGGTAAAATGCCTCTTGTATTACAACTGGCTTCAGAGGAAATACATCTTTCAGAAAGTATATATTTGGACCTTTATGTATTTGATTTAAGCATTAACATTTTCTTTTAAACATTTAAATGTTTAGATGTACATTAAAAATTCTTGCAAATACCAGAACAAAAGCCAGTTAAGGCCAATCCAATTCCCCACACATTCAGTGTTCTACAATGCTATACTGCTTGCTGTAGTGATTTCAGCAAGTTTGAGTTTACCACTACATGCAGATAAAAACAGTGAAAATTGTAATCTCAAACATCAGCAATAACTTACTACTCTTTCCATAATTCCAGGGTTGCGTTTGTTTCTGAGATGCTCCTAAGCTATTAATATTATCTGCCTGGTCCACTGAAGGTGATAAAGACAACTGTTTATTGCTAGATCTATTAAAAAAAGAAGTAAAAAAATCAGTGACAAAACAGTTGCAGAAAGGTGCAAAATAATTTTTTTCACAAAAAAATTCTAGTAGTTACAACTAAGTATACTGTCTAAAGTAAGACAGATTTCCTTTTTATTACTTATATTAATCAGTACCTTGGCAATGCTGGCAATGGAGATTTAGGTGTAAAACCAAATTGTTTGAGATCCACATTTTGAGCTTGATTTAACATCTGCATCTAAAGAAAGTAGAATATTTTAACTTTTAAGATAAAAAAAATAGCAGTTCTCAGTTTGTTTGTAACAAGCTTAATGACATCATTAATACTATATCAAGTTAGCATATTATTTAAATGTCCTATATAAAACCTTTCTGATGTCTGCTTATCTAATGTAATCAGTTAAAAAGATATGAATTATTTGCTTCTAGTGGAGCTATCCAAGCACCCTGGCAAAGCCAGACTGGTTAACTCTCATCTGTATTAGCTATAGGCTAAATAATCCTGTACTGCAAACAAACAAGGAAATAAAACTGTGAGGAAGAAATAAAACCCTCTAATATCTCAAATGTCATTCTTGCTGCAGAAATATCTGGTTTAATACTACATTTAAAGGGATAAAGTGCAAGCCATGAAATCTTTCACAAATTAAAAACTAATATGGATGGTTTTCTTACAAAAGTGTATCTACCTGCCGGTGAAAGAAAATCTCTTAGTAGCATGACTCTAATAAATACCCCTATTTGTTTCATTCAGGTCATATTCTGACAAAACCAAGTCACTGTACGGTACCTTTCAACAATGTCTTTGAACCTCACTCACCACAATCTATCAAACACCACTACAGGAAAAACAGAGTACATGCACAAAAGTGGACCATTGGCAGTGTTCCAAACAGCAGCAGAACCTCTTAGAGATTCCCAAACCTTTGTCATTATTTGCTTTTCACACTCCACGCAGAAAAGACAAATTTGAATGTTCATACTTGGTTATAAAATTCTCTCTGCAAACAATACATACAAATACATAAAGATTAAAAGAAATATATTAAATGGCTGACTGTATTCAAATGAACCTTCAGCCGCTTTACTGGGGGTATAGATGAAATTGAGTTCCTGCTCCTTAAGTCAGCTAGGTATACAGAAAACTGTGTATCACCATTCATCTGCGACTTTGGAGGTACTCCAGTTTTACCTGAAAAAATGAAGTAAAATAATCTTCAGAGCAGTTTATTATGGATAAATCCTAATTCTTTTCCAATCAATGGAAACTTTGCCACTAAGCTTAGTATCTTCTCTTAGAAGATTCTAAAAGATACAACATGCTAATTAAAAGATTTAACACACCAATATCAATTTGAAACTGTAACAAGCTTGACATTGTTCTTAAATCATATGCTAGATGGTCTGAAAAATATTCTTAATCAATGTAGTGCCTATAAATGTGTTATTGACAAAGCTTTCTATAACTGCTTTTGTGGCTGCATCATAGCAACTAGTCCAGTCTATTCTCTTGCTTGCACTGCTTCTGTTGATGTAACCATCGGTATGAAGGAAGCTATTTTAAATCATATTTGTCCAAAAAGTATCAGAAATGGTAGACTTAATGACACTCACAGCAGTCATGCCCACACACATCTTTATTTTTACAGCGATGGTTGCATTCTCTGTTTCCATATTTCTTGTAAGCAATCTCTTGTTTAGATCTGCCTCCTAGATAAATATAGAAATTCAAACAGTAATATTCAATATCAAACACCCATGATTTTTCTTACTTTCAAAATCATCAAAGAATTGCACAGTACTAGTATGTGACAAGCAGAAGCAGTAGCATTGTACTTTTATTACTTTTGAGAGAGAAACAGCATGGATAAATAAGATCTAGGTCCCTTCTGACAGCAAAATTCGATTTTCTGTTGACTTTGGAATTAGCCAGATATTGTGATCAGACCATTTACCTGTATCTACTTTTGTTGCTGGCAGACTTTGTAGTGAGCCACAACATACATCAAGTGTAGACTCAGCTTTCACTTTTCGATTTGTAGCCACCTTACGTCCCTCTGGTTTTGATCTTAAGTAAAAGGCTGTATATGTTTGCTGTATATCAAAGCCAACTTTGAACAAAAAAAGACAAAAATATTTAAAATTGCTCTAAACTGTTTCTAAATTACTGATTACCTTCAGTTTTCTAAAGTGTTTAAGAAAACATAAATGTTATTCAAAGGTCATGGAAATTTAGGATAATGCCCCATTAAAAGCACACTTTTGTATGAACAGATTCTTTGTGATTGAGATTAAAAATGCTAAATTTTCAGAATGTTATAGAGAGTTAGCAGAAGAACAAAAAATGTCCCTTTTACTGAATGTTTCTGTATTGTTTTAAAACTAAATTTATCTATGGCTTTGCACTGACAATGTAATACCTCTTTACCACTATGCAAAACGTAACCATTCACAAAGACATAAATAAACCTATCAGCTTGACAGGTTATCCCAAATGAAAGTCACTTGAAGGCAAAGGACAAAAGAGAATCCTAATCTCTACCAACAGAGCAAAAAAATGTCTCCTAGAAACAGTTTTGATGTTTCCCAATTCTTTGATATGGTAGTAAATGAAATAAACTGTTAAGTAATTAGGACTAATAATAAGCAATCCAGTAAAACATGTGATAGAGTTTTGTTTCCAGACCAGTTCATTTTATTTTATATTTTTGGTTTTTATATTTTGGTTTGTTTTAATAATTTTTTTCAGAATTCTTATGCAGTTGTTTTTTAATTCAAAGCATACTGCAACCTACCATAATCAGAACTAATTAAATTTATACTAATGTCTTCTGATTTTAGAGCTCTTTTCACTTCAATTTTCTTTGTCCAATTTCCATTTTTCAGCAGCACAGAATCCCTGTAAGGCATCAGTAAAGTTCTGTTAGACACAGACAATAAAAACAAGACTGTATACTACAGTATCTGTTAACAAGTGAAAGAGTCTTAGTTCTTTGGGTTTGCTTGATCAGTGGCCTAAGCAATAATATATGATTTATGGCCATAAGAGAGCTGGGATCCTGCAGATCAGCTTAAGTTGTGCCAAAAGTGCCAGACTTCGTTCACAATTCTCATGAAGGTCAGGCAGTTGGAAAACATTTTGTTTCTCTTTTCCCATTTGCTCCAGGCATCTCTAAGCCAAGTGGAGATTTTAACTCCATCTTTGAGGGAAAAACTATTTAAAAAAATATAATTAAAGAAATATAGCTAACAGGAGTAAGTAACAACTGGTGAATATATCTTTTTAACAGATGTTTTGCTTGTCTTTTATTTATGGGAAAATTATTATGATTTTCATAACGACATCAATGTTGTACAGATATTTACACATACTCTCTGCACTGACAAGCACACTGACATGTTTTTGGGGTCTTTGAATCTTGTGCAGCATTTTAAATGACAACAATGACTAGGAAATGCTGTAGAATAAAGAATAATTTTGCACTATTAGGCATCAGTACGAAGTATTGCAAAAACTGCAAGTCACAGAACAGATTAAAAATCAACACCCTAAAAAGATGTGAGGCAAAAAAACCTGATCATACATACGTAATTTTCTGATTAAAAATGACTTGGTTGTCAGCATCTCCTATGACCAGTGTAACATAGTGAAAGTCTGTTGCTGTTCTCTTTGTCTGTAGCTGCTCATAGTTTGTTAATCTGACGGTTACTAAGATTTCAGCCAATGTATCACTGTATTTTGGAAGCTAGGGAAAATGATACAGAAGACATAACTGCTAAAATATGCAAAGTAAAATACATACCCTCCCATAAATTTCTAGCTGTTGATAAAAGTACAAAAGCTCATTCAAGCAATCTGAATTTGTGGTACAATTTTTATTTGTTGTTCTGAGACACTATTATGCAGTTCTAACCTGCCCTAGCTGAATATCCTAAATTTGATTAAGTATTGAGAATAAAAGACATATGCAAAGAGAAATATGCAAGAAGAAAACTTGTGATATAGAGGTTATATTTTGGCATCCCAACATTCCTCAATAAGATATTTATTATTGTTACATCTTTGTTCTGAGAATCTAACTATTCATCTGATATTACGTCAAATAAAAAACTAAACTAGAACTGATTGTTATAACAATAGTATTTCACACATCTATTGAGTTTTTAAATTCAAAGATGTCTTCATTTGTACCAACTTTAAGGTTATTTTTCAAATGTTACATTTCAGAAAGGCAGAGTGGCTATGTGACCCATTTAAAGATAAACTGCATATCAGAACCTCGAAGCTCTTGATTGCATGTGGAATTGCACCCTTCCTTTGAAAGGGGACCAACTAGGTTAATGTAATAATTTACTGTTTCTCTGTATTCCTAACTGTGATGCAGAAAATACATATGAGTTAATGCCTCTTCAGTAAGTTTTATTTGGATGTTTTTCTGTATCTAGGGTTTGTTTATATTCAAGATAGAAGAGACCTCTCAGACTCACACATAAAACTAGAAATGTGAATATACTGGTTTGTATCTGTAACATAAAATGCAATTAATGAGACAGAGAGGGACCAATATATTATAGGAATGTCTATTCCAAGGCTCTCCTTTGATGTTTAAGAGTTTCAGTATACATACTAAGTTGGAAGGAGGTCACAATATAGTGTAATCTTCTATCAATGAAGACTCAAAATTTCTTTAAGTCAGTATTTGCTCTTTCACTTAATAATACCAGCATAAAAAACATACAACAGATAGAAAAGCATTTACCTGTTCAATATCAAGTTCATATTTTGGAAGGTGCAAAACAGACTCTTTTATCTGGTTTCCAAAAGGAGGGTGTCGGTTTAAAATCTGCAAAGATTGAATTTAATTTCTGATACATTCAGCTGATTAGAGATGCCAAGAGAAATGTAAATCCAAGGAATCCAAGTCACCCGAGTAATTATGCTAGCAACAAAAGCCCTTATTACTCCTGGCTCTCTACTGTCAAGGATGCACTGAACAGCAACATTACCAAAAGAAAATTCCAGTACTTTTTCATGTTGCTACTGCTTCTGTTCAGGTAACAGCCAACGAACTAGACAATGACCTCAAAACCTGACTACTCAGGTTTTACACGAAATGACTCTTCTATGTTGCCCTAGCTTCAACTAAAATGAAACAAATGACAGGGAAAACCACAAAAGGGGCAGAAACAAGATATCAAATTCCTAAAGTCAAAATAGAAAAATCCAAGTAAGATTGGTTTCCTTTAGAAGTCTGTTATATCTTCCAAAACACTGGAATAACAGTTTCCTCAGAAAAGAAGCCAAGAACCAAAGAACTTGCCTTGGGGTAAAATCTAACTTCCCTAGAATAGGAAGTGCTTTATAGATGATTCAGAGGAGTTTTACTCTATCACTATCTCAAACTAGCAATAATGGAAATTGGGGATTCTCATAACTAACATACATTAAGAGGAACTGTATATATTTCCTTTTATATTTTTTCTAACACTCCTCAAAGGGAAATCCATATTGTCCTTTCTTTCAAACCATGTTAATGATAAAATTCTACATATTTAAGCAACTGCTTTCCAAACCCAGCCAAATCAGTGAAGTAATTCACACTAAATTTGCTACAATAAAACATCATACACATTTTCAAGGACAAGCAGCAGTAGTTACACACTTTTTAAAAATTCACTAGTAAAAATGAGTAAGCCAACTAAACCCCTAAATTTTGCTACGATCATACAACAGATACATATTAACCATACTGTTTTTACTGGTGACAGTATTAATGCTCAATATTTTCCTTATCATATTTATCTGTGTACAAAATAAAAAATTACCAATTCAAGTTCCCTTGCATTTATGTCTTCAATTTTTTTAAATGACGTCAGTCCAGCACTGACCATAGCATTTGACAGTGATACACCTGTGAAAAATTTAAGTTTTATGCTGTTAAAGGACAATCAATAACCTCAAATTATTCTGAAAAACTGCACTATAGCAGGTGAAATCAAAGCATAAATAATTTTATATTACATTTGACCTAGCTTTCTGCCCATCAAATCACTACATTTCTTTGCAGCTGATTAAATATTTTAGTGTTATTTAATTTCTCCACTTGTAAAGAGAAAAAGAAATGCAACACAAATCAAACATGAAAATATTCAGTATTTCAATATTGACAATTTTTAGTTACATTCTCTTCAATAAACCAGATTTAAGACCACTTTTTGTAAGAATCAAGAAATGTGTTCTGCATATTATATGATGAGAAAAAAGCACATTACACCCTATTCTTTGTGTCATATTTTTTTCCCTATCCAAAGAACTACTTAACTATGTTAAAATCATAAGATTCAAAACATTTTTGAGCACAATAATAAAGAAAATCTCTGAAAAAAATGCATTTAGTAGAATCTTCTAGGAGTCTTTGCAGAATTAGCAAAAAATTTTCCTGCGGCATATCTGCCATAAAAGCAGACTGGCAGAGAATTTCACATACAATTTTATTCCTCTTTTTGATTCACAATACTTCCAGTGAGATTTAGAGTTATCACAGCATGTGAAAAGGAACTTAACTGACTTGGAACTACAGCTACTAGAATAACTGCAATGATTTGAGATAAAACATAGTAGCAAATACTTAGAATAAGTATACGGATCCTTCTCAGGCAATTCTGCAAAACAGTAAAAGAGATCTGAAAATTAAGTGGGAAACCCCTCTAGAGACTTTCAGGTTGATTCTTGGAAGACATTACAGCAATCTTACAAGAAAAGACTCATATCAGCTCAAGAATTCAATGATTTAGAGACAAAGACGACCTTTTGTCCTTGTATATTTGAACAAATTTTGAGTCTGACTTAGGGAAAGGATCTTTTACTATCTCCCCTTTCCTTTGCAGAAGCTCTGCAGGCTGAAGACTAAAGACTCTCACATATTACTTCCTGCAGCTAGAGCTGTTGCCCTGTTTCTTTATAACTGAAGCTGAAGACTAGTTCCTTTGTCATAATTCCTAAAATGGCAGAAGGATTTCCACCAATGAAGAAAATACCAAATATAAATAAGACTTTTTATGGTGGAAACCAAATTGAACAGGTAGTAAACGAGATAAAATCCTGCATGGCAACTGATCATCATCATCCTGTCAGTTCAGAACAAGCAAACAGAAATTAAGCACACCATTCAGCAACAAGAGGGAACATCATTATTGGCCAATAGTTGTAGAAATGCAGTAAGAATTCAACTGAATCATCAGTCTCAGAATGGTCAAGAGTTAGTTAAAGAATGGTTACTCTTATAATGGAAATACTGATTACTAAGGCTTTTTTAAGATTCAAAAAATAACATACTGAGATAAGAATTTAAAAATTAGGGATTTCTGCTACATGGTATCAGCAAATTTCTGTGAACTCAATTCATTTAACTTCACAAAGACACAGATTAAGTTTAGCAGCCATAGACAGAGGTCAAGAATCAGACATTGTACTATTGGCATCAATTCAGTATTTGATTTAGGGAAACAGTGATTTGTCAGAACAACGTTCAAGAGAAGCCTTTGAGAGGAACAAATGATACTTTGAAAGTCAGTAGTTCTTAGTAGTCATGCTCTTGTCATGCTGCAAGAGCTATGACAGCATAAGAAAAATGTACAAAAAAAAAGGAAAATTGGACAGATATGTGTAGATAAAGCACATGATCAAAAAACTAAACATGATTTTATTCTACTGAATATAGTGTACAGGAAAGGATTTGTCTACAGTGCCAATGCCACATTTACTCCACACATCCTAACTCCCCAGAAATGCTGAACCCGAGGCAGGTCCCTCAGATGACTGTGTTGCCATCGGCACAGGTGCGGAGCAGTGGAAATGCGTTCCAGGCACACCGTACCGTGCAATGCACAAGCTAACAGGCCTTGTCCCTTGCTTTGAATCCACAGGAATGAAGCACTACAGCTGCTGCACTTGAGCTGGCAAGGCTGGAATATACTGGACCATACGGACTTTCTGGTTTAGCCATTCTCTCATTTGCAGATCTCTGTACTATGCTGTTCGGTACAGAGTGAGTGTGTCTTTAAAGGAGAAATACAGAGAAGGCTGCAGTGAATTCTGAAAGCATGAAGGTGTGATAAGACCAGACATCAAAGCAGGAAGCTACACGACTACCTCAAACAAGTATGACTACATTTTTGTAACACGGAGGACTCAAAAATTTCTGAACTCCTTTTCAAATAATTATGACAAGCCAGTACTTCCAGCTGGAAGTTCATCCAATAACAGGATACAGTGATGGGAGGAAGATCATTAGAAACTTTTGATCATCATGTGTGTAAGAACCTCATGCACAATAAATTTATTTCTACTTCAGGATTCCTACCGTGTCAGTGTGAATTAAAGGGTTTTCATGCATATAAGTAACAGGAACTACAGTGACAGCTGGTTGGAAAGCAAGGCATAGCCTAGTCAGAGACATGCAATCACACAGATGTGGAATACACCTAAGACACTGAGATGAACATTAAGAAATATGAACAATTCTGAAATACTTTGAAACCCTGAAGGAAAGTACTAAACAGTTCATTTTTGTTATGACAGATTCTTCTGACAACTGTGGTACTCAAATGTGGCAAATGAGTAATTACGAGACTAATTTTATTATGTAGGCAGACACCACAGAAACTATCAGGCTACTGAGGAGTTTTGATTCTCTATTAGATTACACTTTTATAATTTCTGTCTAGTACCTACCAATTTTTTCCAATTGTTTAGACACATGAAGTGAATTTTCCCAAAGTCTGCACCTGAAACACTTTGCTAAAATCAAACAGTTTAATAAAGCAGAGAAGTTGTTCTTAGATGATGCCAGAAAGTCAGATAACCCTGTGAAAATAAGATTGACTTATATTAATCAAATAAAATGCAGTTTATTTATATGTGTACCAAAATACAGATTAAATTTTACCATACATCTAGTAACTCGTAAGCCATTTCTAAATATTCTGCCAGTATCTTGTGTCAAAGTAAAGTCTTGAACTGGAATACATCCCAGCTGAGCCTGAATGAGACTGGAAAAAGAATTTTTTTTATATACAAGCCATTTTATAAACAAAGTACAATAACATTTAAAAAAAAAAAGTAAATACAGAATAGCAACAACAAAATGCAAGATTGGGTCCTCTGTAAAATTAAAATTTTAGCAGGGACTTCAACAGCCATAAAATGACAGATTTTCAATAAAAATAACAGTACAATATAATATTTACCAGTTTACTTTCATTTCTCTTGTTTTTATCTTCCCCTCCATTGGAAACCTATGCAGGAAAACATACATATTTTCTACAATTCATTTTATTCATTGCTAAAAAGGTACTTTCATTCTTCAATTTTTTATTTTTTTTTGGTACCTGATAGTTATTTTGTCCTTGTCTTTATTCAAAGTGTTCAATATTTTCTTTTCATTTGTTCTTAACTTGACATCCAGAAATTCTGCGCAGCTGGAGATCATTGTAATCTGTAGCAATTAGTTGTTTATTAATTGTTTTTATTTGTCATTTTTTCTATCACTTCTTCCAACTTTTGTTTTTTATAAGAACACTTTAAAAATTTTATTGTTTCAACACTATGACCATGAAAAGACAGTCAATCAGTTCTTTCTAATACTGACCAACTTTCTTTCATTTTCCTATAAGGCTATTATATAACAAAAAGGGAAAATTTTCTTTCAGCTTTTAGATTACTATTTCACCTGAAGTTATCTAAAATTAATCACACTGCTAACACTTTATCACATACAAAGCAAATACAAACAGCTTTTTCCATCAGCTATGTATTTAATTTTATTTTCTTCATACTTTAATAACAAAGATAGCCACAAGAGAACAAGCATTCCATTTTTTTCACGGAAAATCTGTTCTATCACAGTATTTGCTGGAAAACAAAATGTCTTTTATGACTTAACAGTAGCAACAATAACCTGTTATCCAATAGAGGAAAGTTGCTTAAAATAGAAAGACAATTCCTTCAAAAGTGAAATATGCTCTTGATGCAGTCGGTTTTTGCAACAAGAATACCACAAAACAGTAAAATGTTTAACACATAAGTAGAACAGCTTCAGCATCTTTCTCTCTCATCTTCATAAGCAAGCTTAGTTAGGGGAGAAAGAGTTGGAAATCAAAAGATCTCAAAGTACAAGGCCTCAAAAATACCCCATATAGAATTTAATTAAATGCATTCTCTAAAACTTTACATTAACAAAGACTGAGTTCTTTAAAATAAACAAAACCTTCTGCTTATCTTAGATTCTGTTTATAATCAATTGAACATATGTAAATTTTCTTTAAAAAGTGAAATTACCAATTCATTCAAAGTCTCAGTTCCCTTAATTGTGAAAAATTGCTTCACTGTATCAAATGCAATATAATACCACGCCATTAATCTTCCAGTCTCTGAAAAAGAAGAATATACCTTAAAAAACAAATATGCCACGTCTATTTTAGTGAGTTGCGTGGTTTTTAAGTCACAAAATTAAACTCCTTTTCTTATTACAGGCCTCTGTGAGATTCACCGCTGACTCAGTATGCTCAGTATGTTATTGCCCCCAGTCTGAGGGGCATTACTGACCCGCTCATGGATTGGCAGAAAGAACCATGTGCCAGTTAGTTTTCTCCAGTGGAGATTAATTCACACTAACACGCCAGGCAGTGAAGTGTGGTTGCTGAGAAGCCAACCACCTCTGGCAGAGGACTGCAGACATGAGCAGATATTGATAAAACCTGTCCTTCATTGCACTGTGACACATCCAATTATCCTGTCACAATGTTCAGCAATTTTCTCCTAATCTGCAACAAATTTTCAGCAACAAGAAAAAACTGTTCTCTTAATGTTGATCCATCGATAGAAGTACCATGACTTGTTAAAGAATCCTGTTCATATATTCTAGTCAAACAATCTCTCAGATTCTGCTCTCTACGACATTTGTGTACTCCAATTAATGGGTCACAAGAAATGTTGTGACCCTTCATAGTTCTATCTCAACATCACTTCTGAAAAGTAGTTTATTTTTAAAAAGTGTTACCTGTTGGCTTGAAATTATTTGCTTCATCCATCCTGATCAAATCAAAAGATGATAAATCATTTAAGTTCTTCAGACACAGTTCTGTCAAAAATTTGAAAATATCTGTATTTTTAGTACATGCAGAAAAACTTTGTACAAGTCAGAAACATCATCAAATTGCTATGAACGTATACCCAAGTAATTCCACTGAACTCAAGTAAAGGTTTTAGAATATGATCCTGCTTCTCCTAAAGTTGGTGGTTAACTTCTGCCTGGGGAAACTCACGGGACAACTCGACTCTTTTTCAGCAGAGCAAAAGTAGCAAAGGAAAAGAAACAATAGTGGAATGCAGGCTGCCACATTCAATTGTGAATGACAGACCGGAAAGCCCACAGCATTTATACAAAAGATTTCTGCTGCAGAGTTAACACTTAAACGCTTCAGATTTCAAAGATCCACAAGTATTTACTAATCTTTCATCAGAAATTTTCATACTATATCAGGTGCATTTGTCTTTAGTTCACTGAATCTACTGTGTCAGGTATTTGCATAACAATGACCAAAGTGTTTTAGTTTTCTCTTTTTCAAGACCAAGGCAATGTTCCGAATTTAAAAGTCAGTTAGAAAAGCACTCAGAGTGATAGTTCACAGAGCAATCAGGAATCATTCACATTACACATGAAATGTATGAAAACAGATAACTATATACATTACTACAAAATATTTCATGCGTGCAGGGAAGAGGTGCTAGTTTCTGTAACAACTTAAAAAAGAGGTTATTTTTAAGATAAAAACACTTCAAGAAAATACAATCCACACTGAATAAGCATTTTAAAGTGAATTCTTCTATCCTTCTAACTGGAGAGGTGATTTCATACCATGCTTTTTCCCATAAAGGCTTATTTAGGTAGTAACATGCTTCATTCCCTCTATTCCTTTCAACCTAATGCCAAAAACAGAAAAGTCCTGATCTAAAAGACAGGAAAAAAAAGACAGAAAACTACTGAACAAGCATATGAACAAGGTAACTTTTCTTACTGACAAGTACTTCTTTTTTCGCTATGTGCAAGTCACAGTCAATGCCTCTCCTATCTGGAGACTTCAAGCAGTAGCACCTACACTGTGTTCCTGAGGACGGGCCTTTGGAATCCCTACACAATAAACAGCCTTGGCATCCTTCCACCAAGCCCAACATCACTCACAAATTCTTTCTACACAGTTGTGTAAAATGCAATAAATATGTAAGTGAAGTCCAAGTACAAGCTCTACAAATTTCTGGGCGTATATCTGTCCATGTTTTCAGGTACCAGACCCTCTTCCAGATACTTAAGTTCCAAATGGTCTAGTACACAAATGTAGAGAACTATGATGGACACGAGGACTCACTGATGATAGAAAACTGTATTTGTGGATTTGCAGAACTTGGCAGCAAGTAGTCTTTTATTAATATACTTATTTTGATCTACCAGAAAACTTACATTAAAATAAATTACAACCACTCAAAGGGAGTTGGATGCTATTTCTGTATTTAAAGATGAGAGGCACTGATTCCCAAACTATTTAGTCAGCTGTATGTTTTCTGATGGAATTCTAAATAGCTAAAATTCAGTACTAAGAAAAAGTCAGTAATTGGATTTTATTCAAGTCTTAGCAAAAAAAAACCCTCTGAGAGTCATGCAATTTAAAATTGTTTCTGAACAAGGTAAAGATATTTACATTTTACATGCTTTGTTTTCAAAGCTAAATTTATCACAAAGGGAAGACAACAATTTCCAAAAAGGACTTTCTTGAAAGTATGGCAACAAAAATTAATGAAAGTAGATGAGATCAATCAAAGGAAAATTAAGAAGAATGACTAGCAATCAAAATTAAAGTGCTCTGCTCCATATTTCTCAGCATGTATATGAAGATGAGATAGGTAAAAGCATTTAATTATTTTCCCATATACAAGAAAAACAAAATTCACTGATAGTGTTTCCAAAGTATTAATAATTGAATAAAATAAATAACACAACATAGTAAATTGCATTTGTTCTACAAATGGATCTATTGCAATTAATGGATATATACACAATGAGAGAATCTGTCCTGAAACGTAATATTTTACTGAAAAGAGCTAAAAATTTCACACTTACCTTGTAATTTTGCTTCAATTCCAATTTTATCCAATCCAGGTGAAAAACCTTCATGGAAAAGACAAAAGCTGTTTTATCCTAATACAATATATACTTCCTCCTCAATATCATCAGCCATCAAAACTGACTTGCTGATTTTTGGGAGCCAGATAAATACCCCCAAATAAAAAAAGGTATAAACACTTATTATACTGTGAACAAGTCAAAAGTATTAGAGAGTTTAACTATCTAAGTATTAGTAAGTGGTTGTTGGAACAGATGTGCAAAAATAAAAGCTGCAGATATTCCCTGATGTAAAATATTAGAGTCCTAGAAGTTGCAGAAGTGTCAGTAACAACTTCCCAGGTACAGTTTTCCTATTTTAGAATATAGAAAGCCACCTAAATTGTAACATCCATTCAAGTAGTAGATGTACAGTCCCAGCTTTAAAATCTTATGAAAAACTGTCTCCAGCAAGTGCCTGATGACTTCAAAATCAAGTGTAGAGCAAGTGGGCAGGAACAAAGATATGGTCAGGGATGGGGACCAAGATGATGTTCTGGGCAAGACAAACTGAAGAAATTGAAATTAATACTACTGAAGTTTCATTCCAGAAAAACTATTAAGTATTAGACTTTTTTTTTTTCTTAGCAGCAGATGACATATTTGGCACTGAAAAACACATTATGGCTTGATACAGCATAAATATATGGCCCAGTGTATTAAGAGCAAAAGAAACACATTATGAAGCTGTAAATGGCTCCTTCATAGTTTTTAAATGTTATACCATGCTAAAACTCCCATTACTTATGTCAAAGCAATAAAATATTACAGGTCATATTGTACATCTTGTTTTCATCTTGTTATGAAATAACAGTCCATAAGAAATTGATAGAAACAAATAATATGGATGTAACACATCCTAGTACCATAATTTGGATAAATTTAAAAAAATATAAAAACAAACCATAATGAGTTGGATTTTTTAAGGCTCTAATGTACAAGAACGTTGATCGTATCCACTCCAAAGCTACAGTGACATCTGTGACAGTGTGTAGCACTATTTCTGCATTTAAGTGCTCAACAAGATGCCTGTGCAAGCTAGTACAAAAAAACAAGAGTTAAGTATATTTACCAATTAGCAATACAAAAAGTGTTAAAGCTATTTTTTGGGAAGAAACAAAACCAAACAAACCCCTCCCCAAAAAATACAACTGTAAAAAATTTCTGTAATCAGCAAAATCAATAGAAAACAGTAAAGATAATGTAAATAATCAACAATGTAAGTTGTTTATTATGGCATAATGTCCAGCAAGCAAAAATAAACTGTCAACTGTGACGTTTCACATTTATTTAGAAAACAAAGCCACAAACATTTAAAAGTTACAGTACAGTGTTGATATTCTGTATATATTTGAAAATTAAATGTTAACAAAATTACTTGCATAAAATTTCCTATTTTACCCTTTAATGTCTTAACTTTCCTACATATTTTTCTTGATAATCTGTTAAAATCAAGTGAATTCTTGTAAGTCAAGTACTTTCCAGACTCTATCATCAAAAAATTCAGAGACATGATCTGGGTTCAATTCCTGCTTTTTGTCTTTGCAATATGTATCGATTCAGTTTCTTCAGTTTTCCAGCAGGAATCCGTACAACTAATTTTTTTTTGGTTGAGTTTAAAACGTTCTAAAGATGGCTCTAGCTAATAAAACAGAAGCTGTTAACTCCTGAATAGTAAAATTTGATTTTCCTTAATTTTTTCTTGATTTCCTCTAAATTGACCAAATAAACACCCTAAAACCCACCTGAAAAAAACACATTCTGTGGAAACTATGAAGCTTTGCTACCATACATATAGTCTTACAATAAATACTTAGTTACCTGCTCTCTATTATATCAGCACCATTTAACATCTGAATATACCTCCCCTTTGTGCTCCAACGAGTCATAATAACTGCAGTAGCTGTAGTGTCAAACTGAAAAATAAAACCACAAATAAAAGCAGCTCTATAGTACTTAGGAAAAAATATCCGTTTGAATATGTATCACGTATCTATTGAATCCATTAAAACTGTTTTCTTCAAATCATGGTTGAAATGGCTATTGTTTGCCAGCTTTCCAATTTTTCTCTAATCCCCATTCACCATGTAACTGAAATGTAATCTTTAGATCTTTTTCCAACAGCAAGGTGAAGCTGTACTTTTTGGTGGACAACACAAAAGCAAATAGATTTCTTTCTCAATTAAGAAGTTACACAGGAGTAATTTAAGTATCAATAATAACCCTTTCAAAGCCAAATGCTGCAGTAAAATTACTGGCATTGTTGTTTCTTTGTTGAGAACAGTTTCTACTAATCTATGGACAGCGCCACTGTATAGAGCATTAACTTACCTGAGGCCTTCCAGCTCTCCCAATCATTTGCAGAATATCAGTTTCACTGTACTCTTGAAACACTCCTCCAACATAGTGCATTGTGGATTTTATAACCACCAGGTGTGCAGGTAGATTGACTCCCATAGCTAATGTGCTGGTAGTAACTACATCAGAGCACAGTACATGAACACCATCGAAATGTCCTGGCACACACTCAACAAGCAGCAAATAAGTGAGTTAAGTTGTGATGCTTAAGAGCTGTTAGTTTCTAGGGGAATCAGTGGGCATTCCGCACCACAAAGAATTTTATGTAGATTACAGACAAGTACTTGCATTAAAATTTCTGTGTATCTGATCATCAGTATCATTTATTAGCAAGTTCTTTAGCAATTTACATCCCAGATACTTTTATTTAAACATTCCTTTACATTTGGAGATAATCCAGAATCTGATCTACCTTCAATATTAGAGACACACAATGAAGAAACATTATTTCCCGTATACACACACACACTGAGTATAGGGATATTCTAGTCAAAACCAAAGATTTCTTTCCCTATGCAGTAGCTGTGAAAGCTGTGTTAAAACCCTACCTTCCATCATGCTCACAGAGCTATGAAGTGGAATTTGCTCCGTACTCTTTCAGCTTCCCCTGTTATAGAAATGTAATTCCAGTATCTCAGATGATTCTGAAATACTCATAGAAACTAAAAATTTCAAAGGACTTAAATACCAATAAGCAACTTTGCCTTCTTTCAGTGATAGTCCATATGTACCTTCATGTTGTGCTCAGCTGTGGCACAAGGTCTCAAAGATGTTTTTGCAAGGAGAAATCATAGAATTAGTATCCTGAGATTCCAGAACTGGCACCACAGCTGACAGCCACACACAGTGCACCAGGCAGCCAAAGTACAGTAGATTGTAGGGATGCAGAGGCCTTTTATTACCATGGACAATGCAACTCTAGCAAGGTTCCCAGATAACAGTAAGGGTATCTACCTTAAATTTTCATAGCAAGTCATGACCATTGTAACAGGAAAAAAAAAAATGCATGCATCTTTCAGTGTTGTTCATGAAGTGCACAGACAATTCCCCATAGTGTCTGGATCTTTTCTTTACAGAAAAAGAAAGCCTGGATGAAATGAGACAATCATGTCTCAGATACCTTCTCATTTCACTTATCAACAATTGGAGTATTTCTTAAGAACCTCCCCATCAGTCACAACACTTGACATGGGAGCTTGAAAACAGTATCCTGCCCATCTAAGAAACATAAATATAAAAGAGTACCTTCTGGGAAGCCACTGCTTCAAAGGACCCTAACAAAGAAAACATCAAGTGAACTCAGAGGAAAGACATACAAGTATAGAGCTCCACCTCAACGGGATGACTCAATGGCAGGAAAAAGAAACGGGCATGGCCAGACCTATACGGACATATGAGGGAGGATAACTTCCATGCGCAGGGAAAGGTTCTATGGTCTTTAGCAACAGCACATACGTAATCTCACAGGGTAAAGGTGTACGTGAAACACAAAAACACCTTTATCTGGATTTCATAAATTCCAAAGGTTCAACAAACCATAGGATCATAAAATATTACCACTTCCAAACTGCAGTCTTCTTAGGATACATAAACGACATTTTGACTTTCAAAGTTAAATCTACTTACAAAGTACTGGCAAGTCTCCTGCAGTAAAAGCCCCTTCAATTATTTTTCTGTCAGAGATCTCCATACCCGCATGATGGTAAGCCACACCACACATTAAAAGATCTGACAATGAAATCATTACATGCATCATTTAACCAAGTTTACTCAAGCAGGTATTCATTCACAGAGCAGAGAAGTAGTAGGTTATATTTACCTCTCAGTTTGGAGTCTTTCAATGAATTTGCAAACCTCTGTAATCTATGCAACACAAATAAAAAAAAAAATCTTAAAAACTAAATATTCTTTGAGTATTTTCAATGACCAACTTTCCCATCTGCACAGAGGGAATAGACAGACTCTCTGGGGCAGCTACTGTAGCCTTTCCAGCCTTGTCATCTTTCAAAGTCACAATCTACAATGCTTATGTGTTGTTCACATAAAGCCACTAAGATCATGTTTGAGGTCTAAAATACGGAGGTAGTTTCTGCAGCTCCCGTAAATAGGCAAACCTGAAGTAAATAATAATTAATACAGTTGTATTTATTAAAGGTATCCGATAATACAAAGACATCTTATGGCTTAACTTAAAACACTAGTAAGACCACATCCAATTTAACTATTCAGACACTTACTGCTTGCACTACAATGCCTTAGAGGCCTGTAAGAATTAACATTTTTATGTTTATAAAGTAGCTTTGAGAAACAACTTAATGTTTGTGACAAGTACCCTAAAAATTTGAGAAGGAAATAAAACTTCCCAAGAAGAGTGCAAATTTGCCAAAAAGAACGTCAGCTATGAAGATGATTTTTTTTTGCACACTCCTCTGCTAGAAATGGTATTAGCTTAACAGCTTTCCTCACAGATATCACAGGTTTACTAAAATATATGAATACTTATTAACAATTCAAACAGAAAAATACCTTTGTTTCTGTTCTATACTCAGTAGAAATTTAGCATCTTTTGCAAGAACAGAAGCAGCCTGCTGCACTCCTTTTCTTGTGGCGCAAAACTATAAATAAGAAAGGGGTTTTTTGAATCAATGCTTTTAAGAAAGAAAGAATTTCAAATGCAATAAAAAAAGCTGCTGTACCACAAGTGCTGGTTTTTGTTCCGAGTATGTTTGTATAACACTAGCTATCTTGTAGTTAAGAGCTAAGTCAAATTTGAATTCTGTCTGATTGTCACTGCAAGGAAAACCAAGAACAATTTTGCGTAGTTTCACTGGTCGTTGATCCTCTTCTATTTTCAGACATACAGCAGGCATCTTACTATCTGAAAGCCATTCTGCGATCTTTAAAAAAGAAGTAAAAGAGAAATTATAAATTTCTTTTAATCATGCTCCTGATCTAACAGCATCACAGAATAATTAACTTAGCTTTTTGTCACATGTAAACTATTAACACATTTGACATTGCTTTCATCACTAAAATCAGGTGAGGTTCTGCTTTTTATAGGACCAATATAATTTGAACTGAGATCAACTGAGTCTGCTGTGATTTGTACTTAAGAAGCAAAAATCACAAACAGAAATCTAAAACTGAAGCATGTCCATACTTGGCTGATAGTTCCATACGGCTGAAGGTACTTTGTTACAGTAGCATCAACCTCATAGCTATCTTTGGCTGACAGCTTCAAAATTAGAAATTTTGTTATCAATCTGAAATTGCAATTCCAGATAAATTTTATAAAATACAACTCCGTTAATAAAAATACAGTTAAAAGGTAGCTCTTACATCTTCAGTGTTTGGTATTGTTGCAGAAACAGCTACAAATCTCAAGGGAGGAATAGTGTCATGATTCTCTAACAGACGCCAAAGAGAAGACTGAATAGTCTTCATCCGACTGACCACAACTTCTAATGTTGCGCCACGGCTTTCATCCTTTATAACGTGAACCTAGCAGGAATTTCAAAAGACTTGCTAAGTATGTCTCCAGTTAACATCTACACATGTGCTAATAAATGTCATATTTTCTAAGTATCCTTCCATCTTCACAAAAGATACAAAAACAGTGCATAAGACCCCATCCTTTTTCTTACCTCATCAATGAGAAACAGTCGTACAAGCTGGACTATAGAGTTGTCTCTCCATCTTCTGGTCATGCTATCCCATTTTTCCTTGGAGAAAAAAAATCAACAAAACAAAAAAATAACAGAAGTAAAAGCTGTTTTAAAGGCCAATGTACGCTGCAACCACAGTCCAGGCAGACATGCCTAAACTTTAAAAAATCTCTAAACAGAATCAGTTCAATTAAAGCTGATGCCAGGGATGCTTCATTTGGCACAAGTGTATTACTGTTATTTATATGAACTAACAGTATGCACAGCAGTGTGCAGGCAAGCATAAAGATGACAAAATTACTACATATTACGAAAAGAAAGGAGCTGTCCTAGCAGCATACAATTAGAAGGTTGCTAATGTCTGCTTTTCCTAAGTTCTGGTAAGAAGTGAGATTGAAACCTACAGGCGTAGTGATAATAATATCAGCATGATGTATTTCAAATAAATCATCTATCAGTGTATCTCCTGTCAGCTCCTTGCAGGTTAGTCCAATAGGTCCAAATTTTTCTTTCCAATCCTCAAAACGCTGACTGCATAGAGCTTTTATTGGAGCCACTAAAAATAACACAAAATAATGAGAATTACATCACAAAAAACAAATCTTCAACTGTATTGCTAAAGAAGCCAAAAGCATACATTTTTAGGATGTCTTCTTGAATTTATTTTCCCTAATTTTCAGCTTCATTTCCAGAACCATACAATTTTTCACTGGTGTTCTTGTCCTTATTATCCTACTCCATGTAGGCAGATCACCGTTGAGCTTTAGGCCTCAGTCCTTCCCATCAGCAAACAGAAATCTTTAATTAAGATTATTTATGCTCTCTTAATCTTTTTTTTTTTTTTTTTGCAGTACCACATGGAAACCATCATTCAACTATCAAAGGTTTTCTCAGAGACAGAAGAAACCACAGGAGATACATCTTTTCTAATGAAAGATCATACAAATACTAACCTTTTTCCAGTTATGAATTATTTGAGCACTCCGTATCTTTATTCAGAGAGAAAAGGGGTCATAAATGATAAACCATCCAAAAGTAAGAGATAGAATACCAGAAGAAATCAAAGTCTATTTAAATCTAATGTACAGTTAAGTGTAGTCAGGGTCATACCAAGCAGCTAACACAGCAGGTAGAAGCTAATGCAGCAGGCAGCAGTTCCCATGCTGGTCTTCATGAACAGACTCCTAAAACAATCTATTTCTTCAGATTTTTTTCAGATATTTCTTCAGATTTTTTTTTTTTTCCTGAGGATACATACTGTACTTTTGCAGATTCTGTTTTTCTAGAAACCAGGTGTAATGCCCAACAAGGAATATGATATGAGCAACACACGTAAGTCTATACTGGATGGGTAATCAATATGGAAAATACAGTGATTTAAGTTAAAGAAGTGATCTCTGCATGACCTGAAAACAGCCCTAGCAAAAGAGATCTTGCAGTGATTACATTTTAGGTTAGCTAGAGTCACTGAAATATGAATGATTTATCCATATTATTATCACAAGTGATCCCTAAGATGAAGAGATTTAAAGAACCAGTTGCTGCTTCAGAAAGAGGTGTAAAATCTCATAAGAGTACCAATGCCTTATAAAGCAGGGGCAATAATTAGCTCCAGAAATCTGATAAGCTACCAGCAAGTAACTCACAAAATTGCAAAGCTAATCATCTTTTGCAATGCAAGAATGTGAGAAGCAAGTGATTGCTCCCGGAACTTTGGTCACCAATCCCTCTGTGTTAAAGCTACTGCGAAACAACTCTGACAGTACTACTGCAAGCCAATTCATATACATGGGAACCCTGAGGAACCAGGTACCAGGCTCACTCAGCAGCACACAATCCCATTGCCACCTCCGTTCCAACAGTCAGAAAACTGACACGTCCTTCTCCATCACTGTCGAACCTGGAAATGTCGGCAGGTCTAATTCCACTCGGAGGTAACTGCTTCCTTACGGAAAGTTCCAAACAGCCAACATGTATCAACTACCAAGGCAATTAGAACTTATTACTCTACATCGATAGGCTCAACCTCCACCTGCTAACAGAGAAGCTGTAATATGCCTGGCTACAAAGATCAGTTCACAATACACAGTAAACTCTAAACCTGATGTTGTTTTAATGTGAGAAGTTGAACACAAGGCAATTAGAGAAAAAAACTCCTGTAAATATAAAGATGAAACCTTTTATAGCAAGACTGACAAATGTATCACTGTATGAATTAATTAAATCTGGGATAAACCCACCAACTTAAACCGATTTACATGATACAAACTCAATTCTCCAGGAAGGAAAGGAAAAAGGTTAATTGTTGTGCCTATCTCCCAGAATTTTCCTTAGTTCCCATACAGATTTATTAAAGCCATGAAGACCACAGTTCTGTTGCCTCTGAGTTACTGTACAAAAAGCAGCAGTTAGCAGGAAACCTTGTCTGGCAAGCAAATATTGGAAAATTTGATCCTTATCTCAGAGCAACAGACAGGCATACAAAAAATACTGGCAGGGCCAGAAATCATGCACTAAGAACTTATTTTAGTTTCCTTTTCTTTCTTTTTCCCTTTTTGTGTATATCTTACTTTCTTGAAGGACAAACTGCTTACAAGATTTTCTAATTTTTATTTGTATAGGCAATGTTGAACACTACAATTAAACAATGCTGTTAAATACTAATAATAGTTTCAATGGTATCACAAATAAACACTAAAAGGAAACAACTTTTTAAAGAATCAGGTAGGTCACAACTTCTTAATATATTTAACTTCAGTATTTTTAATGCATTCACTCCAGATCTCCACACTGACAGAATGACAGTTTCTACTGCTGTCACCAAAATGTTTAAACTTGCATAATACTTACTGTAAACAACTTTAATATTTAACCAAGGCAGTGGGGCTTCCATGAGTAATCTGGTGATAGCTAGCTCAAACATAACAGTTTTTCCAGAGCCAGTCGGAGCACAAATCACAAAGTTCCTATCTGTATATAAGAGCTGAGAAAGAATTGCAAACTAGTAAATATAACACAGCTATGCACAGTACCTATTCATACATCCCAAAAGCATTGTCTAGGGGAAAACGACACAAGGAAATTATTATTACATTGATATATGTAGTCTTCTAAAAATGTTTGTGTTCGATGTGAAGTTACAGCAAAAGAAACATCATCTGTACACATCTGCCATGGAAATGTAAATGAGATACTGTTCATCTAAGCTTTCATGTAATAAAGTATGCCAATCTGTGACAAGCAAACCCCCCCAGTATGTAGCATCAGATGACATTAATACAGAATCACTGCCAATGTCCACCTGCAATCAAACGTGGGCTCATCAGAAAGAGGTATCTTGTGTTCAAATTAAAAATAGAGTTTGTTTGCCTTCTGTAATTTGATCTGCATTCAGAAATTCAACATTGGAATATATATTATTTAAACAGAACATTGTTTTCAATAATGACAAATAAGAATTTTGTATGACTTTGCTTCCTTCCCACACACTATCCATCACCATCTTAGAAGCCAGGTATGTCCATGTCATGTTCCCTCATTTTCCTCTGATAAAGTCGATTCTACCTTCCTTCCTCCTCCACAGCATCATTTGCTCACCCAGCCACCCTTCCTCCATGTAGCATTTTCTGTGCAGCCTTCCTGCCTTCCTTCCTTCCCTCTCAGCTCCTTGTGGATTCTACTATTCTCACTCTTTTTTCCTTTCCTTCTAGCTGTTAATGCTCTAAGTGTTCTATGATTGCTTGGAGCTCACACGGACAAACAGGAATCACCCACCAATTGATTTATATATAACTGCACCAATGACTGATTCTGACAGCACTGCTCAACAGCTGCAGGAATTACCCGTGTTCTTCATCTACTACTGCCAGTTCTCCAATGGTCAAAAAAAAAAAAAAAGAATCAATGAAGTACAAATGCTGTATGAATACAAAATTTCCCCTGACTTTAAGTAGTCCTTTGTAACATTCACTGTGAATCAATCAAGCTGAGTGCTTGCAACTTCCAGGAACCAGAGTTGCTATCAAGTTGAATTTTTCAACCTTAACCAATTAAAAAAAATACGCACAGTCATTATATTTTTAATATGCCAATTTCTCGACTTTTTTTAACAACATCGTGTCATATACATGACTGCTAAACAAACTTTGTCCTTACTGCTACTTATAAAAAAGTTTATATTTAGGACTACTAATACATGAGGTGTACAAAAAAAAAAAAATATACTGCCCCAATAACTTTTTTTTGCAACTTTCATGAAAGTAAATCTTGCTTAAAGCTGTGGTTCCCCTTTATTCCAAGAACAAAGAGTCACAGAAAATTATTTTACAGGTCAATGAAAGAGCATAACTGATAAGAAGGGCATGGACAAATGGCCCTTCTCCAAAAGGACAACCTTCTCTAAAGTTCTGCTTTTCTTAGTCTTCCTGTGAAAATCATTACCAAAATATTACTAATCCGTATACATAAATACAAATATAATCCACATCTTCACACAAATGTATTTTACACTGAGAAAAAATTTTTTAAAAATTCTTCTCATCTCTTCTCCCAGCTAAGCACAACCCTGATCAACCATTCCAGGAAGAGGTTCTAGATATATTACAGTTTTCCAATCCCTTTTATGTTCTGAATATCAAACTATCACTTAAAGTTATCTACAAAGAACTCCTTGCAGACGTAGTTAGTGTTCCATACTTACATCATCCAAAGCTTTAGACTGTGCATAGTTAAAATATGGGAACTCCTTAAAAATACTTCTAAATTGGGTTGCTTGACAGCATTAAGGAATTTAAAACATCTGAGTGAAAATTATAAAATTTATTTTAGAGCTGTAAATACATCTCTTTCTTGTAACTTAAATGTAAACTTAAAACATATACAACAATATTTCACAGGCTTGTAAAAAGTTATCTAAAAGTAACCTATTAAATGATTCAGTAGTTTTCTTTTAGATTCTTGGTGTGACTTATATTCCACTTCACTGAAACAAACACAATCTGTTTGAGAGGCCTCAGGATTATACCAATACTCAAGAACCTCTTCCCTGGCACAGGCTTTGTGGAACAGCATACAGTTATGGACTGTGAAACTGCAAGGGAAAACCAGATACAGGAACAAGCAGAACACTGATCTTAGCCTATTTAAGGTGTCAATGGTCACATGATATTTGTAATATAACAATAATTAGCATAATATTCTATGTTCAGTCATAACAGGAGCAAAGAAATTCATCTATGATCTTAGTACTGTGGTTTTAAAGCTTTTTTTAGTTGCTAATAATGTGTGTTCTTCAGGCAACAACATTCTTATCTAAAACATCCATAAGATGAAAAGAGAGTACAAGAGAGTACTGTTACATTACAAATCCAAACGAGTGAGTTGATCCTTGTCTGGACTTGCATTGAAGCCACACAAGGCACACCGACTGTGACCATCTCATCAGGCTGAGGATGCACACACAGCCAGACATGACACCAGCAGTAACAAGAACAATGAACTGCTGAGGCCTCAGATTGATGTCACATTAAATGACTAAAGAAAGAGGAAAAGATTAAGGAGTAAAGCAAGAAATAGAAGCAGTTAAACATTAAAAAGGAGTTAAGCAAGCAATATCAGATTAAAGAAAATGAGGATTTAAAAAAAATTATCTAAATTTCCTCTTTAAATAAGTGAACTATTTTCAAAATGCAGAGCATTAATGATCTGTGATTGGCCAATTCCGAACAACTGAGTCCTTACTCATTTTGAAAATTAGGACACTTTTTAAAGCTACTAACATGAATTTAATATGCCTAAATTTAGACACTTCCTAATCCTGATATTTAACCTACAGGTTACTAGAAACAAAATATTGAAAAGAAAGTGTAAAAAAAAAAGAAAAATAAGTTTGACAGATATAGATGAATGGTCGATCACATTATGTGTTCAAGACAGGGCCAAGAAGGAGAAAAATTACTGTACAGTCTGCTTAAAGAATGGAAATACACCATAGGCACACTACAATATAAGTACAGATCAACAAAGACTATGTGAGGTTAATTTTCTGAAAAAATAGGATAGAAAGATTCAGTTTTTCCAATAAGCCTAAATAATAACACACTTCTACTTCAGTTAAAGTGTATGGGGATATCTGTGTATATGCATATAAAATCTTGTGTGAAATATATTTTATGCAAAATAAAATTTCACATTTTAAAAATAAAGTTTTGAGGATTAAATTTTAATGTTTTAAATAAGTTTTCTTAGGAATGAATGATCTCTAAGTCCAAAGGATAAACACCTATTTACCATTTGATTCCCAGCATCATGTTACAAATTGAAACTATTACAATGTAATGCACGAATACTCAATGGCTACAAATTAAACACTACAATTTTTTAGAAGCATTGTAATAAAATCAGGAAATCAGACAGAGCAAATACAAGGATACGTATTTCTGTGACAGGTCTCAAAATTTCCAGTTTTCTTTCTGTAGTTCCTAAAGAAACAGAAATAGTAAATTTATAAAATCATATCTTTTTTCAACCTATAACCATGAAAAATATTTTCCTGACCTCAAGCTATATGCTCTGTGAGGAGTTTCAGGGCTACAACAAAGTCTAGGTGATATAGAAGGAGCTGACAGGATAGGATAGGGAGGTCCTTTCAAAAGAAAGGACATCTTGGTGGCCTTTTGCTGAACTCACTCCAGTTTAAGGATGTCTTGCACGTACCAGAGACCCAAAACCTCATGCAGTATGTAGTGTAGCACGTAGAAGGGGATAATCCCTTCCCTTAATCTTCTGGTTTTATTCCTGTTACTGAAGCTCAAGATGCTGTTGACCTTTGTTACTGCTGGGGCACACAGACCGTTCATGTTCAGCAAGTTGTTCTCCAGACCCCAGGCACTTTTCCACAGAGATGGCTTCAGTCAAACCATCCCAGAGGAACCTCAGGCGTTCTTCTCTTTCCCTGCAGCAGGACTGTGCATTTGTTCCTACTGGTTTTCATGAGATGGCTGGCAGCCCCCTCCTCCAGGGGAGACCACTGCAGTACTGCGCTGGTAGCAGGCACATGGGCAGAGTGTGACCCAGTAACCACCTTCTGAGCCTGGTCAAACATTTTTAGACCCCTCCAGTGGTCAGTCCAGTCCTACTGCCCTAACTTGGACACAAGAAGTTGTGGAAGATGTTTCTCAAACACTATCATTCTATGAACACCCTTGCTGAAAGCAAAGTAAATTACATCGACTGCACTCCCCTCATCCACAAATTTAAGTACCATTGCTCAATAAGGCAATCAGACAGGAACCACACTTTTCATTCTTGTCCTGTCTCCAAACCCCATCCTACACCACAGCTCTGCCCTGCATTTTTCTGCTAGAAGTAATTTTCTATTCCACATTTCTGAAGCAGTTAGCCAGGTACACAAGGTACATTCCATAGATGCAGTGAGTCCCTGTCCCCAAAAGTTTAAAAGCTAGAAATAAAACACACTTAGTTAAAAACTATTAGAAACCAATATCTAAACCAAGAATTTATCATTTCATCAGAATACTAACCACTTCCCTTTGTTTTCTAGATATCTCCTATTTAACATCTGTTTCTACAAAGATACAAGTATGAGCCACACCACAAACAAACATTTCATTTTCAATATCTGGTTTCAAATGAAGATGAGACTCTTCACCACATGAAGGGACGAGGCTGCTCTTTTCCAAATTGCTTAGGGGACTGATGTGAAGTGACATTTTCAAATAAGTTTACATGACTTGGCACTTCTGAAACTGTGAATCTTCTTCATAAATTGTTGAGTCAGTTCATATTAAACAACAATGCAATTAAGTCCTACAGAATTGCAATATATTCTATCAATTTCAGCCAATTATCTCATCTTGAGCTGGTGAGAAAATGTTCTTCACTCCACCTCAGATCTTGGATATCCATTATTGTTATATAACAAAGACAGACTATGGACAATTTTTCTTAAAATAGAGTAAAAATAATTACCTGTCCTATCCAGAATCTCTGAAGCATTAGAAAATGATTGAAATTTAATTCCATTTTCAGACACAATGTTCTCATTATTTACCCTATGCAGAGTAAAATCTGAGTCTTTACTTATTGGAGCATGGTGATTATTTTTCCATAAACCTTCTTTTCTCACTTCTTTCATGTTTTCCTTTGTATTCAAGCAAGTATCAACTTCTTTCCCATCAATTGAACTAGCTTGAAATTCTGCATTTTTGTACGTATAACCAGACTTTTTAAATAAGCTGCAAAAGATCCAGAATTTTCATTAGTTTATTGTAATATTTGTTGTCTAATATTTGGAAATATGTATGTTTGAAATACATTTGGAAAATATATATGTTTGTATTAAAAGCAGAACTAGTAAGATACACTAAACTTTATTTGATCTGACATAAAAACCTCTTTCAACTTTACTTTCATTCCAGAAAGAACCTGAAAGAATTAACAGCCTGTCCAGTTAGGCTCTGACTCCCAATAGCAGATTAACTTTGAATTCCTGCATAATTAAAACCAATAGTAATGCAGGTTCTGAGGAACAGAGGAGTGGCTCATTGGTAAAACCTTTCCTCCCGTGCAGCCCTGAAATCACACTGAGAACTGTTCGAGGTATTTACTGCTGACTGGCTGACCATGTTCTGAAAAGCAAGTGATCTTTGCCTTCTTGCTTGTTACCATGCAGATAAAGAACTCAGAGTGGTATTTTGCAAAATCTTTGTTATCTAACAATTTCTTTAAAACTTAAGCAACAAATCTCTTGCTTACTTTTCACATGAAAGAGGCTGAGCTCAGGTGACATTTAATTAAAGTACCAAAATACTGGCAAAAAGAAACATCTTTTTTCCTTATACTGAAGAGAGTTAGTGTCTGGAGCCCCAGAGAAGAGTACCTTCAACTTTGTGTTAAACAGATTATTCTAAAATAATAATACCATTCTGACAGTGATAAGTTATCAGAGTTGATTAGACATGTACCTTTTTCTTAACATTGAATGGACACTCTCATCATCATCATCATCATCACTGTTTTCTGGAAAATTACTTAAAGCTTTATTTTGTGAAAAACTTGCACCAGGTTGCTGAGAAAACTCTACTCCTCTTTTAGATTTATCTTCATCAGAAGAGAGAAATGATGAAACTATTTTCAGACTTTCATGCTGAAAACTAGTTTTCTCTCTGTCTCCTAGACTTAATTGTAGCACTTCTTTCTCAGACGCTATGCCAAAAGGAACAGGTGCTGATGATTTATCTTCTACTTTTTCAGTGTTACTCTTACATTGTTGTATAAACTTCTGGGGCTTTCTCCCTCCTACAAAAACAATAAATTAGTATTTTTATTAACATTCATATTCTTATTCATAATCATTTAATCAAATATCTTCCAAACAGTATCAGCCAAATTTACATACACTATATGAACTGATATTTCTATCTTATTGCAAGAACTTTACTGTATATTTAATGACTCATGCTAAAAAATGTAATGCATTTGTTGTCAATTTAAAAGTTATAAAAATAGGATCACTTTCTTTGCTTTCTATACAAAGTTAAGGAGCAAAACCATTCCCCAGAACCACAAAGTAGTTTGTAGGACAGAACACTTTACCCTGTCCCATAATAAAGATGGTCTTTAGAAATGACACAATGACCAAGCTTGAAGTTCCGGCTACAAACAGCTGTGAGATAAATGCTGCAATCTCAACAGTCAGAACTGGTACCAATGCTGGTGACAGGCCCCTCTCACAGCCCTCTTGGTTAATTACATTTTGCAGGGTTAGTTCTCAGTAGGATCAGTGTCCTGATCTGCCAGACCAGATCAATAAACATTGCTTTTGGCAAAAGGAAGGCAAAGGCAGGAGCAGAAATAAGCAACTAAACCCAACAAGATAACAAAACAGTTCTACTCTGCAGTCTATTAATTTCAATGTTATCCATCTGGAAATTTCAAATTACAATGCCCTGTCGGTGATACAACCATAACAGTTCTAATTATACAAACACCAGAAAGCTTATTTGAGTAAGTAGCCCTTAATGGAATTGCATGTGCATAAAGTAGCAAAAAAAAAACCCCAAACTTTCTGTTTTAATATAATTTCTAAATAGAGAATATCATAAATCAGCACAGCAGCTAGGAAATGCAGAAATCTGGTTGACAGAAATAAAGCAACAAAATTTTTAAAATAAATTTCCTTAAGGTGATCCCAAGTGTCTAGATGGGACAAATATGCCACTTAGCAGCAAATTAATGACCAGATTCAAATACCACCTCCTGAACAGCAATTTGATAAAAGCCCCAAAAGGGAAGAAAAAAGTTAGTTTCATATAAACTCTGTACCTTGGGTGAGATCCATGTGTTAACATTGTGCTCTTATGGCCCTTCCCACTGTGTTACAGCGCTTTGTGAAACAATGTGGAGTAACTGAAATTTTGATTATACTTCTGACCTTGCCCACTTCTGCACAGTAAACTTCTGGTCTGCATATGCCTAAAGAGGACTGTTAATGCTCCAAACACATCTAACACCATCATTCTCAACTAAATTACGTTTTTTATCTATACTTGTATCCCTAGAATATTTCATATTTCAGAGCGAAAGAGGAGGAATTATCTGTCACACATTATTTGTTAAGTAATTTCAAATGAATGTCAAATATTATGGTTTAGTTGGACTTCGCAGTGTTGTGTTTATGGATGGACTTGATCGTGTTAAACATATTTTCCAACCTTTCCAACAGTCCAGTGATTATATTCTATGATATTTTACCCATATGAGTGTTGGCTGAGTCTTTTTCCAGTTCCCTCTGTAACTCCTCTGCAGCTGGAATTTCAGCAATAGCTGGAGCAGGTGCAATAAACCAAGTCTCAGGCTCTTCATTTTCTAGATGCCTATTTTTAACACACATATGTAAGGTAAAAGCATTCTGCCAGCACCCTTCACAACGTCTAGCTCAAAAGTACTAATTATAAATAACCTACTGTTTCTCTTGCTACAAAATCTTCTTATTCTTCAATTAATTTGATTTTTAGTCACATAAAATTAAAGAGGCAAAACTTCTGCTAAACTGTATTTGTTACAGCCCTAAGATACACTTGCATCATTCAATGTGCTTAGAGACATTTCCAAATATGGGTCATGAATCCGGAAATTTCTAGCCTCACATTTCTATCAGTAGACACAAAAGCAAGTCACAAGAATACTACTGTAAAATGATTCAAAGTGTGGAAAATCTTGCAGAACATTCATATATGTCTAACAATAAAGCTTTACCTTTGTCTCATATCTGGTCTTTCATAAAATAAATTTTCCAACGGAAAGACCATGTCTGCAGAGTTGAACATTTTTAGATCAAATGTGAGGTCTCTTAATCTGCAAAGGGCAGCACAAGCAACTGTAAAACTGAAATTACTAGAACTGAACCTGTATAAAGCAACAGAAAGTTTATTAGTTATAAGTGCCAATATTTTCTAGATTGTTTTCTTTTAGAGCTTTTGCCCGCATCCTTAATTCTTCTTCAAACAACTTCAGACTATATATTTTTTCTCAGATTGTATTTTTCCTTCAGAACAGAAACAATGTCTTATGATTACAGTCTGCCAACTTTTTGCAAAATAAAATTATACTGTTACCTAAACAACTAATTTATAAGAAAATGAGATTTTTTTTTTAAACCTACATGCAAATTGCTTACCTGGATAACTGGAGTACAGGCCCAGCTTCTTAATGTTCTTAACAGATTTGTTCTGAAAGATCAGAACCAGAGATTATTTCTAAACTATTTATCATGTTCTCCAGTCTTAAAAATACCCCAGTTAATTTCAATGTTTTTCTTTTTAGCACCAACTGTAGAAATGAGACATGTTTTCTTTCCGTATTCACATTGAGAAGTTTCACAGCTCTTAACTCTGCCTGAGGACAAGTTTAAAAAGCAAAGATTTTACTAAAAGAATACTAGAGAGATGATTTTTTGACTCAAAAATTTTAGATTCACTAAAACAAATAGTAAAATACTAAAAGAAGTTTATAAAGTTCAATAAAGGCCAACTCTGGAGATAAGGTAACAAAGCAAAGTATCTTCTTTACCCAGAGAGATATACCAAAAGCAACACTTCTTCTGTACTCCAGCATCTCATTAGTAACACATGAAAAGCATCTTTAAGAGTGCTTTGCAGTTGGGACTCAGATTTATTTAATTTCTGTGTACTGTCAGCTGTGAATCAAAATTTTCAAATATATTTTTCTTTTACAGAATCTGTAAAACTTCAAATATTCCAAAGAGATGCTTCAAATTTAAAAAAGAAAACATTTCACAATACCAGGAAAATATAGTGCACGTAAACAAAACCGTCTGTGAACACAGCAAAGAACTTCAAAAAAGAAATCTGTCAATGCCCCTTTAACACAGTGAGTTTACAACACCACTTCTGCCAATTTCTGCCACTCCCACTCTGTCAGGTTTTGCCACTTTTCCCTTCACATTATTAACTCTAGAATTTAGAAATCACACTGATAAATCTAACAAAGGTAGTTTGTTTCACCACCATGCTTTTGCGTGCTTTTAATGTCAGTAATCTAAAGCAGGAATTCTCAGGCTTGGTATCAGTACTGGCAGCAAAACCATCTATCAGGAACCCTATCACGTTGTTGTTATTGAAGTAGTAATAATCCATACTGGTGCTTATCCAACTGCATAACCATTGCTCCATCAGCAGAGCTGCAAACACTGCATACCACTATGAAATGGCTTTCCTATCTCAGGTAGGGAATTGCAAATCTACGATTATGTGACTTCCACTTAAGTAGTTCAGATTCATGATTCCCATCCTCGAACAGTCTTTGTTATACACAGTATTTGATCTCCTAGATGCTTTCTATATGTCATTTATTCTTTGATCAGCTCCATTAATTCCAATTGCTTGACAATATAAATAAAAATACCATGGTCATTCTACGAGACAGTAGAAATCTAAAAGAGAAGCATTCCTTTATACAGCTCTGCATTCATCCAGCTGCTTACAGGATGTAAACAGTGACATCCCCTTCAAAATCTCCAGCCAAGCAAAAATGAGTAGTCTCTCGGAATTTTAAAAGAAGAACTAAACAAAGTATGCCGGGGTGTGGTGGTGATGGTGGGGAGGAGCCCCAAATGACCCGAAATGGACAGAAATCAAAGGATCTTTTCCACATGCTCAGTGCTGTTTGGTTGCACAGGTAAAATGCATATTCCAGGTGGCAGAATGAGGGAATACGTGTTTGCAGGAGCAGCACGGACCACTGATTCACATTTACAAAGAGGTGTTTGCCAAACCCTGTGAGCAAAGACCTCTCATGTATCTGCTTTAAAAAACACCTTACTACAAACATTGCAGGCCTCAAGGGGTTTTGCTCACTTTTGAAGCACCTTTACTTTTCACTTTCCTCCTAAGCCAAGTCCTTTCCTCAGATCACCTCAATGCTCTCTCCAGGGGCAAAACGTGAAGCTCACAACCTTCAGGAGTGCTAACCCAAACAAACCACAACTGCGCTCCCGGGCCGTGGTTCCGGCGCCCCGAAGATTCAGAGCACATCCCCAGCTCACTTGCACTCCTACCCGGGCCCTGCGAGCCCCTCAGAGCCAGGCTCCCTCTCCCTCCACTGGGGAAGCAAAACCTGCGAGCGCCGCTCCCACCTCACCGACAGCGCCTCCCGCCGCCAACACCGTGTAAAATGGCGGCCCTGGCGGAGCCGCACGGAGAAACCGCCTCAGCCGAACCGGCGGGAAGCGGCGATGGCCGCCCGTGCCTCCCTCCGCAGTGTGCGGGGCCGGCCGGCGTCACCTCCCGCCCTGGGCTGAGAGGTTCTACCCGCGTTCCCTTATTCCCTCCCCGCTCCGGGACCGAGGGCTCCCGCCGGCGCGAAATGGAGGGCGGCGGGCCCGCTCCGCGCCCGCTGCCTTCTCCCTGAGGGCCGGCCCGGCCGCGGCACCTGCCAAACCCGCTACTCGGAAATCCTGCAACAATAGGAAGGGATGGGGCTAAATTCCCCATAAAAACTGTCAAAGAGGAATGTGGAGAGACTCCACTGGTGCAAGATTTAGAACTTGTCCAAACATGGGAATCGCTCTCTCTTGGAAAGTCCTTACTTACTTTGACCGTGGTATAAATTAGAAAAGGCAGCTGATTCCTGAGCCATATGACTCTGTTAGCAAAATGATTCCTGCAGAAAGAAAAAAAAAAATTACTGAAAATATTGATTGTTAATATACTTTATAGTGGATTTTTTTTTTCTTTCCTGCTGAACTGGAGCATCAAAATGCCTCAAATTCTATGAATTGAAACAATATCACATAAAGTATTTGTAAAATGCAGAAGTAGGTTGCTTTTTATCCCCACCTCCCCCCTCTCCCCCCCAATACTGCAATTTATAATCCTGGACTTGCCATTAGAGCATAGCTTTTGAACTAGTAAATTTTAAATAAATTGTGAACTGTCTCAGAAAATTTAAATTTTAAGCTGGTTCAAAGCTTCATGCCATTCAACAAATACTATAGAGGCAGCAACTGTAAATATGTATTTCCTCATACATAAATAGATGAAAAGGAGAAGATTTTCTCAAATATTGATTGATTTTAACATTCATAATTTTTACTTAATCAACTTTTTTTTGTTTTTCTTTCTTGAAAATATTAATTTTTAACTTTCTATTTCAAATTCTTAGACATTGTATGTTTACATAATGTGTATTTGCTCAAGCCATACAAGCCAGGTCAATTAGAAATATGCAAGAAAGGTTATACTCATTTTTACAATTCAGTATATATGAGGTCTTTATCAATTTTTACCTTAAAAATACTTGCATCAGTACTGTGTCATATTACAATATTCCAAAATTCACACCACATGTTTAGATGCTCTAATCCACCTCCCCAACTAATTACTGGGCAGACAGCCAAAGGTGAGAAGCACTTCATTCCTATTTCCAGCATGACAGGATCTTGGCCAGCACAGAATAACAAAAGATTTTATGATAAAAAGGTTAGAGTACAATTAGGATTTCTAATGAACCCATAGTTTGAAATTGAATTCTGAAGCCACCAACATTATTCAGTAATCTGAATAAAAGTGGGGAAATGTTTGAGCTTCTAATCATACAGTAAAGCATTCATTTTTTGCTTATAATAAATTCTGAAAACAGAAAGCATTTTTCCTTCTTACTATTAAAGAATGCCTTCTTCGATTCTGGCCTCAGGCAAGTTTCCATCTTAGTTCACAACATCTGCTTTTAGCTGACCAGACTTTAATGTTTAAAGCCATCATACAAACAGTTCATTTTTTAAAGCTATTTTTTCTTCGATTCCTTTCCCTAGGTGACATCTCCCTCAACACACACACAAATCACATAAAATATATAGCAAAGCAGTCTCTCAACTGCTCTGAGACAGTTTAATTTTTGATTTTCCCCAAGCCTAACATCTGATCTGCCATATGTTTTGAGTCTTTCCAGCTCATGGAGATCACATACTAAGTCATAAACTTGCATGTTCTGGAGCAATGCAACTAGAAAATCATGAACACCAGACATTGGCCAGTGATCCATATGATAGCAGAATAATACTCATACTTGCTAAATACAGAGCTGTTAAAAGATTCAGTTTTCCCCAGAACTTACAAATTCAACAAATCAGCTACAAACAAATTAAATGCACAATAGTAGGAAGACATAAGTGATCTGGCGATCAGTGGTGTCTTCTCTCGGCTTCCTTTGTTTGGCTTTATCCACAATTTCAGAGGCATGACAAAAACATTGGTCTAAAAAGCACCATACCTCGTGGCAGAAATCACTCCGAAGTGTTAAAAGGTCTAAAGTCACAGGCGACCCCTGAACTGCATGATTTTTACCATTGCTTGAGGTGGTTGCAATTACTTATTTATTAAAGAAATTGTAAGGTTCAAGAATTAAAAAAATATTTGCGGCTGTAACCTTTTCCAGTCAAATAAAATACAAATACAGCAAAAATTAGGTTGCCTGGAGGATGAAAAGGGGAATTTCTTCCACTTTCATATTGGCTAGCATTTACAAATGTGGGCCGGATGTTGCACCACCCTTGCAAAAACTTTAAACAGGTGAATAACTTAGTTTGTGGCAGCTGAAATTACTCACGTGCATAAGTGTTTGCAAGATGAGGTCTTAAGAGAGCTAAACGCGGCTCCCGCTGGGACCTGGCAATACTGCTCTGCATGTCCGCCGGAGGGCATCTCCCCGGGCTGATACAAGGCACTGCTCCCCGGGGCTGAGCCAGCAGCCTGCTCTTGCTGTGCCCTCAACAGATGCTTCTCCAGGAAGTTTAGCTCTTGAACTTTGAATTTTATGTGGCTAAATTAAAATATTTTTATCACTATTACTTTTTTCATGGTGAGGTGGGGAAAGTGTTATTTTCTGTGCTTTTTTACATTTTGTTCCTTTTTTAATTTCTTACCCATAAAGTTTTTTTTTAAATTTTTTTTTTACACTTTTTAGATATGAACTCCTCCCACTGAACCCCTCAGGCATAGACTAACAATCAAGGATTATTTTCATTGTATATAGCATTAATATCATACTTCAAATTAACAAAACAATCACATTTCACAGTTACAACTCCACCCTGAACAAATCTTATCATGCACAAACATTTATTTTAGGTCATACACTATTTAGAGACATTAGCAATTTTGCACATAGACAATGGAGATAATGTAATATTGAGTATAGATTTTACAGTTCAGATAGCTAATACTTTTCAATTCCTGTATCTAAATCATAGGCTCATCTGATAAAATGAGACATATATGCAGAAAGAAAGAAAGAAAATGAGATTAATGCTGGGTGGTATTTGCTCTTTTAGAGTGTACCTCCGAGGAGGCAACTTATTGCTGCTTCCCCTAAAAGTGAAAGAATGTTTCATTGATGGTATCCGTGGAGTCTGCTTTTGTACAGATGACAAATAAGCCTGCAAGTTATATCTGCAACCACTGTTTTGGAAAATATCTGGCTGTTTTCATCTTGTCTGTTCAAACACTGTACATTGGACTTTTTTAAAGGTAGGAAGGGAATGGGCGTTTTTTAATCTAGAGCTATTTTGTTGAAGTCAGATCTCAGCAAAAATATAAGGTACAACAAAATGCTCTTATTTTATTAGCTTTTTGTTCTAAGTTATTATGAATCAATCATATTTACTATTATACATCTGAATTCCAGATCCTCTGATGGTTCATGCCCTTTGACAGTGTTTCCTGCCAGCAAAATTTCTTGCTTTGGATTGGAAACAATTATTCTATAATTGAGAATGCACTGTTTATAAACTTCATTTTGTGTACAGTTTTGGCAATTTTAAAAATATTTACTCAAAGTAATCTTCATGTATCATTCTGAATCATCCAATAAATGTACATCATGTACATCCAAAATGTTCATCTTACAAATCATCAGTTCTGTAAATATTCCTCAGTAATACTTGCAGACTAGTTGACTTTGAGTTAGGTTTGTAAGTGAAATCCTTCTAACTTGCTGCTGCTTAGTAAACTGGAAAGAAGATACACTTATGGGAAGACAAGGTCCACAGAATAAGACAAGAAATGTAATTCTCAGGAAACGGATGTTTCTTATTATGGAAAAGCTGCTTATACAGAAACCTTAATGTGACTGAGGTATTTGCTCATATTCAAGGGACAGAAGAAAATTTGTGAGTTTTGAAAATATAGATATGATAGAGAATGAATTTTTAGAATACATTTTGTTTTACACGTAACATTTTTATTCACCAAGTTTGTATCTGTTCAAATGTGTTTTATTATTTTGGCAGACAATGTTTTGAAGAGTGGACAAGAGGTAAGGAGACAATGATACTATGACAATTTACCATCTATATTCCGTCCCAGAGAAATTTGTTTTCTTGGCTTTGTGTCCACTTCATTTTCTTTAGAAAAAAAAAAAAAAAAGAAGCAAATACTTTAGCTGCTGTTCTCTTTGAAATGCTCATTAAAAGATTCCTAGAAAAAGTTCATCTTCTTCACTTATTTTCTTCCTTCCCTGGTCCTGTCCAAATTACTAACTTATACTAATGAAGGTGGAATAAAGCAACTCAGCCACATAAACAGCATTTAAAGCAGCAGTGTGATCCACATACAAACTGTGTGGGGTCCAGCCAGTATGATTAATGGATTGATGTAGTCAGGGTTAAGACACGTGTATTCTAGAGATGATTCTCTTAATTTAAAACTGTCTTTTCTAGGATGACAGCCTACTTACTCAGTTATTTCTAATAATCTTCCATACTGTAGCTATGCTGTGCTTTTTAACTTAAACAGCAACAATATGCCAATTAAATTTCTGCAGACTATATGATCTGAACACCCTACAGATCCTTAGCTTTTTCAAAGTAGGTCCTTGTATACAGATTTTGTTTGATCTCTGGTTCATGTCAACCTGGTTTTGAAACATACCATAACCAGAAAATGTTTCTTTATGATATGTTAGTTATCAAGAATGTGATCTATACTGATGGAGAAGGAAACAAGTTCATGCACTGATCTTTCTTCAGAAATGAAGTTTTTCTCCTTGCATTAAGGTAGAAAGCATATATTCCTCAAAGTTTGTATTTTCTCCCATACTTCCTTATTTTAACTTTTTATGATCATAAACATTTGCCTTGAGCCTTATGACTTTAAATTTCATAATTTGATGCTTGATAATATAACATATTTACTGATGCATCTGAAAAACGTTAAGTGCAAAGCTGTGTCTTGTAACAAAGTGTGGTCTAGTCCGGAGGAGAGCATTAGGATATTATTGCAGTGCAGGTAATACTCAACAGTAAGTACACATACAGCAGTATTACACATCCCAGATGATGGGAGAGAAGCCAACCCTCCTGTCTCCATATCAGATACCAGAAAGTTGTTTATGTTTTGCAGCACTTACACCGTATTGTTTTAGTAACTTAACATGACTTGGGCCTTTGAAAGGTGTGGGGAAACTGTACTGTTGTAGATGCAACTCACAAGAATGATACAAGTGTCGAATATCAGGATGAATAGAAATGGCCTCAAGTTGCACCAAGGAAGGTTTATTCTTTTTATTTCTATTTGGATATTCTGGATAACTGAAAGAGTTGCCAGGCATTGGAATAGGCTGCCCAGGGAAGAGGTGGAGTACCCATGGGAGTATTTAAAAGACCTGTAAACATGGTTCTTAGGGACATAGTTCAGTGGTGGACTTGGCAGTGCTG